CACTTGAACCCGGGAGGTGGAGGTTGCAGTGGGGCCAAAATTGCGCCATTGCACTCCAGCCTGGGCAAGAAGAGTTAAACTGTCTTGAAAGAAAGAAGGGAAATAATCAAGAGAGCTTCTGGAATAGAATACCAGCATAGAGACTGGCTCAGCGTACATTGGACTTCCGTTCCTGAGCCCGCCGGTGACTCACACTTGGGAGATGAAGCGACGTGGGGGTGGCTGTTGGCAGCAGTATGCCAGATCATGAAAACAACACATTTTGTTTTGAAGATAAAAATACCGTTCTCCAGGAAATGTTACTATCGGAAAGACATGTCAACGTGTGCATTTGTAAGTGACGACTGCAAACCTTGACTCACGGATAACTTGGATGTTAGAGGAAAAGCAAAGGTAATAAAACTAAGTTTGGCGTTAAAAGAGGGAGACAAAATTTACTAAAACAATTAGGTAGGTATGTGCCTCACTTCTGAGCATCAGCAGGCCCACCTTATTGAATAGCTCCTTGTTAAGAGCTAAGAATTCATACCACCTTAAAGCTGCCAGGGGCTTTAGGGAGCCTGAAATGTCATTCATCAGAGTTGAGGCTCACGTGTGATGAGGCTGAGCGCTTGAACACTTGATCAGGATTTTTCCACTCTGATCTTTATTTTCTGAGAATGATATTTTATATGTGAAGAGTGCATGTAGGCTACTCAAATCCAAATGCTGTCTCTGCCTTTTAGTTTTTGTTTTTTTAAAAAATCTGGAATAAGATGAGGCATATAGCCCTTCACTCCATCATTTTCTAATTTAGTTTCCTATATTCCCGTTACATTTAATCTCCAGCCCAGGAAGAAGATGAGGAGAGAGGAAAGGAACATAGGATTTGCTGAGCTCTCTGCAGCGTCCTGCAGGTTAGGGGTCTCATCAGAAATTTAGTAAGTCAGGGACCCGCACTTTCAAAAATGGAAGTGAAATAAAACAGAAAACATCAAAGTGCCTTGCATGTAATAAGCCTAAAGTTGTTTTTAATTATATATAAACTCTGTGTCTGTGCGTATCTATATCTCTCATGTGACTGAGTTGCAGCATAATAGTTTATCTTACCATATGTCATTGCCAAAAAACTCTGAAAGTCAATATTGTACCTTATGGATGGTCCTCTTCCCAGGACCATCTTTCCAGGGATCCTAGGATACGGGCAGTGGGAGGGCCACTTTATTCCAGCCTACGCGACCAAAATGCCAACGGGTCACCAGAGCCTTCTCAGTAGCTAAGTACGTCAGAGCAAAGGAACAAAATTCCAGCACTCACACCTCTCACACAGCAAAAATACAGAAACATAGTCTCTTCACCTGACGGCACCTAGGTTCTTCAAACAGTGCTTTGAATACCGTCTCTGGATGCCATCTTTGTAGATGGTTTTTCGGTATTTGCCTTTTTTTCCAATTTGGTAATACCGATTCTCGACTTTCCCCCTTTGTATGGGACATTTGTGGTTCTCCTTGTCCCTTCCTTCCTTCTGTCTTCCTCCTGCTGGGTATGTGAGTAGGTATTCCATGCACATCAAGAATGTGATGGACGTGATGCTGCTTCCTTCTCAGGGTGTCACGTCTGGATGTGGAAGGCATCAGCTTGTCCCAATACCAGAGATCTTTTTCTGACTATATAAACTCGTGTGTGTGTGTGTGTGTGTGTGTGTGTGTGTTTGTGTTTACACACAGGCCATGTGTGCTGGGCTAAGCTTTTCTCCCTTAGTTAAGCTGGTATCCCCTGGTTCCTTCATGTACTGTGCAGGTATTATATTTCCTTTGTAATTAATAAGTAATTTTTGAGAGGGCTCTCTTAATCTCTATTCTCATCAAACTTTCACTTGCAAATTTTAGCATTCATTGCTGGCTCTTGCCTAGGAATGTAGGCTTTGCCTGTTTCTCCTGCCTGATCTTGCAATCCTGTAAAGTTTTCTCCATTAAAAAAAAAAACAAAACATTTATTAAAGTGAATAGCTTGGCTCTTGATCTCATATTCGAATGCCTAACCTCAAATTCATTCTGACCTCAATTCAAATTCTGCATGTAGCTTCTAGCTGAGACTTTTGGTTAAACAAGGACTCCCTGAGGTTTGCATTTCCACTTAGAATATTAAGGAAAGGGCTGGGTGTGGTGGCTCACACCTGTAATCCCAGCACTTTGGGAGGATGAGGCCAGTAGATCACCTGAGGTCAGGAGTTCGAGCCCAGCCTGGCCAACATGGTGAAATCTCAACTCTACCAAAAATACAAAAATAAGCTGGACATGGTGGCCTGAGCCTGTAGTCCCAGCTACTTGGGAGACTGAGGCAGGAGAATCACTTGAACCCAGGAGGCAAAGGTTGTAGTGAGCCGACAACGCACCATTGCACTCCAGCCCAGGCAGCAGGCTGAGACTCCATCTCAAAAAATAATAATAATAATAATAATAAGTATTAAGGAAATATTGAAAACTCAACAAATTTCAATGGAAATTGACAATGCAGATTGTCCGCAGCTTATTCAGAGGCTATGACAATTTTCTAAGGCTTTTCTAAGAGCGACGATCTCAATCTTAACATTTCAGTAAAGATTTTCTCCCGTTAGATATTAATTTCTTGAAGCTCTTGTGATTGTGTTAAAGTGGTCTCCGTGACTCATTATATTCAGACTAGTTGTATTCCTGTTCAAGATCTGGATAGCACAGAGAAAATGAAAGTGTTTGAATTAAATAATGAATGAATGCCCATCCTGGGAAAGAAAACCTTTAACCTGCATGACTTTATGGTCAATTATACAGGTTATAAATACTGAAGTTTTAGGTTGGCCTGTGTGAAATATATTAGCAATTTCTATTGAATGCATCGTCTGCTGAGCTGGAATAAGCCACCTCAGGATGTGCCAGCTGCTCCCATTTGTCCTGTGATGGGGGTATGGACCTTCTAAGGCCTCCAGAGTTTTTTGCTAATAAGGCTCAGCTTTTTCCTGTATCTGCAGATGTCTTGGTCTGGATCCCTCACTTTTTTTTTTTTTTTTTTTTAGTCCGGAGTCTCCCTCTGTCACCCAGACTGGGAGTGTGATGGCGCAATCTCGGCTCACTGCAACCTCCGTCTCCTGGATTAGAGCGATCCTCCTGCCTCAGCCTCCCAAGCAGCTGGAATTACAGGTGCCCGCCACCATACCTGGCTAATTTTTGTATTTTTAGTAGAGACGGGGTTTCACCGTGTTGGTCAGGCTGGTCTCCAACTCCTGACCTCAGGTGATCTGCCAGCCTCGGCCTCCCACAGTGCTGGGATTACAGGCATGAGCCACGGCACCTGACGGGATCCCTCACTTTAGAGAGCAGATGCACTATAGGAAATTTGGACTGCGAAGCAAATGTGTCTAAATTTATGCCCCTTTTCCAGAAACTTTTATTACAAAATTAAACATATTTTCTCATTTAAAAAAAAAAGATGGGCTGGGTGTGGTGGCTCACACCTGCAATCCCAGTACTTTTAAGGTGGGTGGATCACAAGGTCAGGAGATTGAGACCAGCCTGGCCAACATGGTGAAACCCCCTCTGTACTAAAAATAGGAAAAAAACATTAGCCGGGCGCAGTGGCACGTGCCTGTAGTCCTATCTACTCAGGAAGCTGAGGCAGGAGAAGCACTTGAACCTGGGAGGTTGTGGTTGCAGTGAGCCAAGATCGGGCCACTGCACTCCAGCCTGGGCAGCAGAGCGAGTCTCCGTCTCAAAAGAAAAAAAAAAAAATAAAAGATGTACCAGCTGAAAACAGCCACCCTGCATTTCTCCTGATGCATGCCTCCCATGAGGGTCACTTCGTGTGTGTCCACCGGGCTCACCTGGACACTTACAGTTGGCTAAACTTTGACTGGGTCCTGCATGAGCTCATCATGTGTCCAGGGCCTCATGCAACCCAGATGGCTGAGTCTCCACACTAAAGCCTCATTCTTGGCCTGTCACAGTGGCTCAGATTATCCAATCACTTAGGTGTTAAGCCCATTGTGCATTAGCTATTCTTCCTGGTGCTCCCCCTCTGGCCTCTCCCACCCTCCAGCAGGCCCCAGTGTGTGTCCTTCCCCCCATGTGTCCATGTGCTTTTCTCATTCAGCTCCCACTCATAAGTAAGAACATGCAGTGTTTAGTTTGCTGAGGATAATGGATTCCAACTCCATCCATGTCTCTGCAAAGGACATGATCTTGTTCCTTTTTATGGCTGCATAGTATTCCATGGTGTATATGTACCATATTTTCTTGATTCAGTCTATCATTGATGGGCATTTGGGTTGATTCCAGGACATGTGTTTATTTAGATGTGTGTATCCCTCTATGCATATATGAGTTCATGAGTACATTTTTCTATTTTCATCAAGAAATTATTCTTCCTACCTGGAATTATATCTAAGTCTTTTCTAGAATATCTGGCTACTATTTCAGTCATAGCTGAGTCAGTTTTCCCTTGCCTCATCCTTCTTCTTTACAGCAGGGGGGGAGTTTGTGTTTTACAGCCTGAGCCCAGCTCCATTTTTCCCACCAGAAAGCATTAGTTTACAGCAAGGACATTAATATAAAAGTAAGAGTAGGGGCCGGGCGTGGTGGCTCACACCTGTAATCCAAGCACTTTGGGAGGCCGAGGCAGGCAGATCACCTGAGGTCAGGGGTTTGAGACCAGCCTGGCCAACATGGTGAAACCCCATCTCTACTAAAAATACAAAAATTAGCCGGGCGTGGTGGTGCGTGTCTGTAATCTCAGTTACCCAGGAGGCTAAGGCAGGAGAATCGCTTGAACCCAGGAGATGGAGGTTGCAGTGAGCCAAGCAGAGATTGTGCCACTGCACTCAGCCTGGACAACAGAGCAAGACTCTGTCTCAAAAATAAAAAAGTAAGAATAGGGGCAGCTGGTCTCGAAGTCAGAGGCCCCCACTTCTGAATGCATCTGTGATATCGCTGCTGCTGCAGCATCCAGAGTCCTGCCTACTGAAAACATTCCGAACTCTTCTCTTACAGAGATTAACCAAAGTGCTGACAATTTGCACATATTTCTTCTGATATGTGGACTTCGACAAGTGAAGGACCCTCTCTACCTGGTGGGCGCGTTTTCAGGTGTGCTTGCTGGTTACGTTCCTGCGTTGTTTATGGAATTCCTGTGGGCTCGTGTCTCAGCATTTCTCCCTTCCCGGCTTTGAGCTTTTTAGCTCATTCTCTGCACATGAGAGCTGTTTCTAGATCGCTGCTTTCGAAAAGAACAGAAAACTGTATGGGGTCAGCAGCTCTGGGAGGAATTTCCACCCTGTTTTCCACTGTCCTGTGCCCTCAGGTTCTGAGAAAATCACAAAAATAGCAAATCATTGTAAGACTAAAAGAATTTTACCTGAAAATATTTCACACATACCAATCTGTGTGATGCATTTGGAGTTTTATTTATTGTTTAAGCTAATCTATGTAGCTTTAGTATATTCCAAAGTCCACATTGAATTGTAGTGATACTGGACACTCATCCTAGTTATCCAGTAAATTAGAAATCTAGATAATGGATATTATTGTAGAAAAAAATTCTGCTTAAAATCATAAAATTTCAAACATAGAAATTCTAAATAAATACTATTTAAATTGACTAATATTATGAATGAAAGCCAAATGGTATGAAATAATAACTGAGAAATTTATATTGAAGTAAATTGTGCTTGCAGCTGCGGCTGGAACCCATGTTAAGTATTTCATTGTTTTCTTTTTTCTTCCCCAGAATGGCACCAGGAGGAGCCCAATGTGTACCTGGTGATTGTGGGGCCTGAAGTAAGTTGATGTGCAGTAAACACTGATCTCACCTTTGTTTCCTTCTTTATACTTTTTATGTGTTTTCCACAATTAGTTTACATTGCTCTTCTAACCAAGTGGGATTTTCTTCTTTTTAAGTAAATGAAGTCAGTTTGCCTTTTAAAAAATGAAAACTAGACCAAGGTTAAAGATCATTTCAATTACAATTAATCTTTACAACTAATTTATTGCATAAAACTAATAACTTCTACAGAAATACGGAGGAATCCAGCCAGCCGCAGTGACTCCTGCCTGCAATCCCAGCACTTTGGGAGGCTGAGGCAGGCGGATCACCTGAGGGCAGGAGTTGGAGACCAGCCCTGAGAATGTGGTGATACCTCATCTCTACTAAAAATACAAAATTTAGCCGGGCTTGGTGGTGGCTGCCTGTAATGTCAGCTGCTTGGGAGGCTGAGGCAGGAGAATCATTTGACCTCGGGAGGTGGAGGTTGCTGTGAGCCAAGATTGTGCCACTGCACTCCAGCCTGAGTAACGGAGCAAGATTCTGTCTCCAAAAAAAAAAAAAAAAAAAAAAAAAAAAGAAATACAGAGGAGTTCTATAGAGAGAAAATTAAAGTTATATAAAGTGAAAATTAGTCTAATTCACTGCATAAGGCAAATATCATGTGTGATCCAAATTGTTTTTGAAATTTCCTTAAATTACTCAACAAGCCTGGTGTTGTTCCTTCTACCCAGCATTGGGTGGCAGGTAACACCTTTGGGAGCCCTGTTATGCGGAAATGAGTATCTGTAAATCTGAGAAACACTCTGGGACGGGAGACGTTCCGACCCGACCATGGCGGCCGTGACAGAGGATGGAGTCCCTGGGAGACACTTGGAGATGCCGCCTCCAATTCCATGGGGACTCCGGGATATTCACTCATCCCTCACCAGATGAGGATCCAACACCTGCTGTGTTCCACGCCGGTCCTGGTAGAAGTCCCAAACACTTAGAGTCGTAGAATCTGTCGCTGCAGCGGGCATCTCGCCAGAATGAACTCGCACTTACTCCAAGCGATTTGGAAAATAGAATACACCTAGTGTTTCCAGTCAGACAGGGAGGACCGCTGGCCGTGACGGCTCCGTGTCTTTGTGGGTTTTCTTTTCTTTGAGATGGAGCTTCGCCCATGTCACTCAGGCTGGCATGCAGTAGCATGATCTCAGCTCACTGCAACCTCTGCTTCCTGGGTTCACACAATTGTCCCACCTCCGTCTTCCAAGTAGCTGGGATTACAGGCACTTGCCACCACGCCTGTCTACTTTTTGTATTTTTAGTAGAGTTTAGCCATGTTGGCAGGCTGGTCTGGAACTCCTGAGCTCAGACAATCCGCCCACCTCAGCCTCCCGAAGTGCTGGGATTCCAGGCCTGAGCCACGGCGCCCGGCCTCATTGTGGGGTTTCTGTTCCGCAGTTGCTGCTGTGGCCTGTGTGTATGCGTCCCTCCAAACTCCCATGCTGAAACCTAATCCCCAGTGTGAGGGTATTAAAGAGGTGGGCCTTTGAGTGTGATTCAGGCATAAGGGAAGATGAGTGCCCGTTGGGGAGGCCCCAGAGGGCTGCCTCGCCCCTTCCGCCAAGCAAGGACACGGTGAGCATCTGGATGGGAACAGGCCTCGCCAGATACCCGTCTTGCCCACACCGCGATGGCGGGCCTGCAGCCTCCAGGACTGTGAGCAGTGCATGTCTGTGGTTTGTCAGCCTCTGGTTGATGGTATTTTGCGATCGCAACTCCCACGGAGAGACAGCTGCCTGGCCTGTAGTGTTGATAAAATCTGTGTGGCTGCACTGGTCATCTCATGCAAATGAACTTGTGTTGACGTCAAGCAGCCTGGAAAACAAAACAGCCTTAGTGTTCTCAGCCTGACGGGTGTACCGCTGGCGGTGTCAACTCCATTTCTTTGAGGGGTTTCTGTTTCTGGTCCCTAAAACAGCAGTGTCCCTGAAAACCCGAGTGAATGGAGCTTTACACAACTGCCCAGAGCCTGGTTTGTCTTGCGGTTCTTCCTTATATAGTTTTTCTAGTTCCCTAGGGACCAAAAAGCATGCCGGGGGAGTTGCAAGCTTTTCTCAGTATTTTCAAAGGCTTTTGGAAATATTTACCTGGAAAGGACAGCATAAGGTATGAAAAATGTCAAGGGCTAGGCTGGGCGCAGTGGCTCACGCCTGGAATCCCAGCACTTTAGGAGGCCAAGGCGGGCAGATCACCTGAGGTCAGGAGTTTGACACCAGCCTGGCCAACATGATGAAAACTGTCTCTATTAAAAATACAAAATTCAGCCAGGCATGGTGGCCTGCACCTATAATCCCAGCTCCTCGGGAGGCTGAGGCACAAGAATCACTTGAACCCGGGAAGTGGAGGTTGCAGTGAGCTGAGATTGCACCACTGCACTCCAGCTTGGGCGACAGAGCAAGACTCCATTCAAAACAAATAAACAAATAAACAAACAAACATCAAGGGCTAGAATCTGTGTGGCCACGTTGAATACCATATGGAAGCTAAATTCCGCTTAAATGTGGCAGTTTGTTAACATTCGCCCACACACACGTACACATACACATACACACATGTGTGTGCAGGCATGCACACACATACATACACATGTACACATACACATACACACATGTGTGTGCAGGTGTGCACACACATGTACATACGTACATATACACATGCATGCATGTGTGTGCAGGTGTGCACACACACATACATGCATGCAGGCGTGTGCACACACGTATATATACACATACACACGTGTGTGCAGGTGTGCACACATACATATACACAGACGTGCGTGCAGGCGTGTGCACACACATACATATACATATGCATGTGTGTGCAGGTGTGCACACACGCATATACACACACACGTGCATGCAGGCGTGCACACACACACATTAAGTGCTAGCCTTGTGGCAACAAGGTAATTCCCAGTGCACTAATTAATGTTAAGTCCCATAGAGGCATGGTCATTATTATTACTTTTTCAAATCCTCTCTTTATTTTTCTGTTTGAAGAACATTGAAAGAAAAGCTTCTAGTTTGATGCTAAAATTCTGGCTAATCAAGAGAGAAGGCCTCAGGCTTGGAGCCATGGGCACGCGTCAGCAGCATCTGGAAGGAATGTAAAACGTGGTTTTCTTTTTCATTGTTTTCATTCTTATATCACAGCCTGTGTATGGTGCTTGATACCGGCTTTCCAATCATGAAAATCTCCTTTCAAAATAAATGGACTTCACAAAGAGTATTAACTAAGCAGTGGTCCCGATGGTGTGCAGATGTGACAGACTGTGAATGTGCATGTGAATAGCCAAAGTTTGGGAACGAGTTCTGTGCAGGATTAGCATGTGGGGTGGAAGAAATACTTCAGAAGAGCCCCTGCCGGAGAGCGACCTCCACAGACACTGAACCGAAGGTGATCTGGTCGCTGGGTCTGGCTTTTTCGGGGTCACATTTTCTCTCCAGGAAGCCAGTACAGGGGGCAAACATAGGGGCACACGGATAGCACTGGGTACGTGACAGATCCCTCTTCCAGAGAAGTAAAGACTGAGGGGGCCCATGAGTCGATGCAGAGGTGAAGAGAGAGCTGCTGGACGCAGGGTGCCTGCCTAGACTCACCTGTCCTCTCAGCTCAGCTGCCTGCGGTGAGGCAACAGGTGCCAGTTGCTTCTTAATGGCTTCTTTTTTTTAAAATTTATTTTATTGCATTTTAGGTTTTGGGGTACATACATGTGAAGGACATGCAAGATTGTTGCATAGGTACACACGTGGCAGCGTGATTTGCTGCCTTCCTCCCCATCACCCATATTTGGCGTTTCTCCGCACGCTATCTCTCCCCAACTCCCCAACCCCTGCTGTCCCTCCCCTATTTCCCCCCAACAGACCCCAGTGTGTGATGCTCCCCTCCCTGTGTCCATGTGTTCTCATTGTTCAACACCCGCCTATGAGTGAGAACATGTGGTGTTTAATCTTCTGCTCTTGTGTCAGTTTGCTGAGAATGATGGTTTCCAGGTTCATCCATGTCCCTACAAAGGATACAAACTCATCGTTTTTGATGGCTGCATAATATTCCATGGTGTATATGTGCCACATTTTCCCTGTCCAGTCTATCATTGATGGGCATTTGGGTTGGTTCCAGGTCTTTGCTATTGTAAACAGTGCTGCAAAGAACATTCGTGTGCACGCTTCTTAAGTTAATAGTCTTTTAGGAATGACACCATCTTGCTGCTGCTGTTTTCATATGAAGCAGTCAGAAATGTTTTTCACTTCCTGGAGGAAATATGTCTCTTCTACCACTTCTTCTTTTCTGAGCTGGGTCTCACTCTGTCTCCCAGGCTGGAGTGCAGTGGTGTGATCTCGGCTCACTGCAGCCTCCGCCTCCCAGGTTCAAGCAGTTCTCCTGCCTCAGCCTCCTGAGTAGCTGGGATTTACAGATGCGCACCACCATGCCCGGCTAATTTTGTATTTTTAGTAGAGACGGGTTTTCTCCATGTTGGCCAGGCCGGTCTCCAACTCCTGACCTCAGGTGATCCACCCACCTCGGCCTTTCACAGTGCTGGGATTACAGGTGTGAGCCCCGCCCCCTTCTACCATTTCTTTATGGAACACGGCACCTCTCCTCTAATTGTCGTTTGCCTACTTTTGAAAGCACAATATGAGTGTAAAAAGTGTTTGCCTTCCCTCCTAAAGTGACTTAGGAATCTTGTCCCTGCGGGGCAGGGAGCTGACTCTGCAGGAGCAGCCACAAGTCCAGAGGCCTCTTTTTATTTGGAGGGGCAAATGTGTGTGTGTGTGTGCGTTTATTAAAAATAATGTCAGTGAAATGCCTTTATTTTAAGTGATGGGATCTAAACTCTGTGCAGGTCAGCATATGCGCATGCGTGGACACACACCCCCCACACACACACACATACACACACACACCCCCCCTACAAAATGCATCTGTATTTTCTTTCCTTTTCTAATTCTGGAAGGAGGTAACTGTG